TCTGAGCACCAGTTAAGTATTATCGCGGTAATTGGGCATTGGATCACGCCGAGCTTTGAACGACGGGCAGCGCTACTGGATTTCGTCGAGCTTTCTGGACCACATTCGGGCGAGAATATGGCGGCGGCGGTCATCGAGATGCTCCATGAGCTCGATATTGCGCCCAAGCTCCTCACCATCACTGGTGACAACGCCGGCAATAATGGAACCATGTGCGATGCGCTCTATGCAGAGCTGTCGAAAGTCTACGATGACGAGGATAGTGATTTTCGCTTGCGGCCGCTGATGCGGTTCCACGGCCGCGCAAGCTTTATTCGATGCCTTGCGCACATCATCAATCTTATCTGCAAGGACATCTTGACGCAATTGGGGGTGGGATCGATGAGAGAGGCGAAGGCCACGCTGGATCATGTGAGTGCAATAAAAAGCCGGTGGCCCGCAGAGCCGAGCGCGGATGTGCTCATAGGGAAGAATGATGTTGTGAAGATCCGCATGCTTGTGCTGTGGATAGCTCGGAGCCCCCAGCGCCTGCAGGACTGGCGAGAGGTTTCGCCTCGAAAGGTCATTAGCTATGATGTTGAGACTCGCTGGAATTCGACATACACAATGATCGCAGACGCGCTCCGATTACGGAAGGAATTGACCCAATACATCCGGACCCACCCAGAGATCGAGAATCTGCTGCCGTCTGAAGAGGATTGGCTGCTATTAGGACAAATTGAAAGTGTCCTGAAGCCTTTCTGGGAATACACCAATGTCGTCTCTTCAGACATGCCTGCCATCGCCGACAGTCTAGCGATATACTGGAGTCTTGATGATCTACTGACGGATATCAGCACCGCGCAGGGCGACTTCCAGAACATCCATGCCTCAGTCCAAGAGGCCGTTCGACACGCTCTAGAGAAGGCCGAGAAGTTCATTCGCAAAATGGACGAGAATGTCTTATACTATGTGGCGACCGTCTTGGATCCGCGTATCAAGACGTCATTGATCGCAGCGCACATGAACAGTGTCGATGCGACGTTGATCGTGTCACAGGTCCGAGAATTTCTCAAGACCGAATATCCATTTCGTTTCAGTCTTCAACCTGAGCCTCAGCAACCGCCAGGGATGCCAGATTCGTTGTGGAAAACTTTGAAACGGTTACAGCCGGGAGTCGGGGTCCAGATGTCCGACATCGACCGGTATCTTGATTCGGCCGTGGTTAGCTGGTCACAGAGCTGTGTAGAGGATGGCAACGCTGACTGGGCGCTCAAGTGGTGGAAGGCCAATGCCTTCGAGTTCCCGTCAATGGCACGCGCAGCCCGTGACTATTTGGCGGTTCCCGCTACCGAGGTCGGCGTGGAACGCGTGTTTAGTGGAGCTAGAGACGTCCTAGGTCTCCGACGGCAGTCGATGAGCGCTGACACCATGCGCTCGTTGGTCCTGCTTAAGGGCCACTATGATTCTCGCATGTAGATATGAGAAAAAAAAGGGAAGTGTAAACTGGTGGAGCAGGAGACATGATTTGCCGTAGAGTTAATTGGACTGGGACAGACTCTTTTAGATTCACACCCAACTCGACGGCGACGGCGACGGCGAGGATTGAATGAGGATGCGACACGACAGAAATCTGGTTATTTTCCATCCAGAAAATGAGGAGCATCCAACCCTCCCTGCGACCCACATGTGTGAATATTCGTGAATATTCACGAATATTGCGAATACGAATAGAGTCCATATTCGTATTCACATTTATTCGCCAAGACTTATTCATATTCATCTTTATTCGTGAATATTCACATTATTCGTATTCATTTCGGAGCCCTAGTCACAAGACAGCACCCGACCTCAACGACATTGAGCTGCTTGGACTCCTGAAGACGACCGTTCGCGCTGTCTAATATGGAAGAGGAGGACGACCTTGTCCAATTGGCGGTGGGTGACTTGTGGATGAATGCTATCAAATTTGATCCATTCGACCTTGTTGGACTTGCCCCAACAGCGGACTTGACGTAGGAACTCTATGAGAGACGACTTAAAGAATTGTCGCGGACCCTCCACCGGGACAAGATAAGCCTGTTCTACGGCTAGGATGGAAGAGTTATTCTCGGTGATCTTCCATGGCCGCGGCAACACCACGTCAATCTTCTCCGAGGCTACATGTCCAATCTTTCCGAAGAAGGACGAGAAATTAGCTTCACGAGAATGAAGCACTTCTGGCGCCAGTACAGCGGATTATCCTGGAATGCGAGCGCATTGATTGCACATGAACCTGTTGCGGTTGTACTTCAACCCGATCTCCAATACTACCGTTGAGCTCTTTGGCCAAGAAAGCATGTCGCTGGCTGGCGGAGATCAGTGAAGCTGCGATCAGAATGGGAGACCAATTCAACTCATAAGGTGACAGCTCTACCTAGGAAGAGATCGATGATGGTGTCCTGGATGACTCGGGTGCATGTAAGAATGAGAGAGGAAGAAAATTGTTCCCAGATATCAAGGCATACTCTCCTTCCAATAATCCGCGACACAACCTTAAACATTCTGGGGACAATGCCTCATCAGGGCGACCGCGGGCCCATCACCAGCACATGACTTCCATCACCCCACGGATTCTGATGACACGGCGAACCTGCATGCAAGAATGAGCCACAAGTCCTCTTACATTGGCGCACCAGAACTTTATGTCAATAGTCCACAAAGCAGGCGCGAAAACTCCGCCCAACACCCTATCCTCTTAGCACCACGCCGCCGTAGGTGGGATCCCCGCATGGCAGCTCGCCCTGGCCAGCAAACTTCACTTGCACGGTTCAGACCGAGAATGATCCAAGAGAGGAATCCATGATCAATCGTATCTATCATGATGAGACAGGATTCTTCAACCAAGTTCTGCACCCATTCGAGTATCGAGATACTAAGATCAACATTGTGCGGGTCACATTGGCAGACGTCTTTGTGGTACGGCGCTAGCGGCGACAGGAACACCAGCAGCTGTCTACGCATCATGGACCGCCAAAGGTTTTAGCTTCCACGTGCTTGGACGAAGTCCCAGTGACAACAAGATGTCACTGCTGAGAACCGCGTTAGGCCGGTCGGAGCGTTCGGTACCGTTCGAAGAGATACACCTGGAAGGTGGTTAGGTTGGCGCTACTGAAGACTGGATTCGCTTTCGAACCTGGGAATTGCAGCCGCGAGCAACACGAAAATTGTTGTAAATTAGCTGACTCCGCTATCGTCGCCTTTACTGCGTTAGATGAATATTGTTCCTTAACATCACCGCCTTCTCATGATAACAATTCTCTTTGAAGTCGGGTTCTGCGTCGACCGAAAGGCTCCTTGTTCCCTCTCAGAGATTCCCCAGGTCAACTCTTCTCATCAATACCGCTTTGGGAAATCCAAAAAGATTTCCATCTGATCCAATAGGGCGTCACGCCGCCGTGCTCTCCAATATTTGACGTACAGGTGAGAAACAGATTACCTAGATCCTCAGCTTGATACTGGAGTGTGTGAGGGTTGAGTATTAAAGACCGGATCATGGCATTTTTGTAAGATATGTTTAATACCACATACGGAGTACGATGCTTCGGACCCAACAAAGGATCACAAAGTTGAGTCTGAAGCCAAAATTACACTAGCTGGGCCTACTTCTGTGTCTTTCCAAGTCTTGCTAACGAGGCTGACCCTCTACTCGGTTCACCTTCCCACCCCCAAGGCCTCTTAGCTTGTCATGCTTTTCGACTTGTACCACAACCCCGACGCCCGCAGCCATGACCACACAATCTCTCAGCTCAACTGCAATTCTACAGTACCGCTCCATGCACCAGCACTCCGAATCAGTATCATGTCTTTATGGAAATGGGACACAAGAAGAAATACCGTCAACCATGCCGAAAGTTGAGAATACATTTCTGCCTCTTGGGTGCAATTCTGGTGTCTTCAAACACTATTTGTTGGCCCGGACTATGCACGGTGTGGATCAGCCTCCTTTCTCGCCGCCCATGTTGCCGCCGTGCCACGAGGAAGCAAGTTACGTGACTCGAGGTCCTGGAGCACGTTGACAACCCATTTTTGACAATACTGCGGAGGAATCCGTTGGGCAGCAGATTTCAGCTTGTTTGTGTCGCTGGAGGATATTGTGCCGATCAGGGTCTTTTGTGAGATGCCATGGCTGTTAACCCTCTTGTTTGCTTGAATTTGGACTTGATATGGAGTTCCTTGTGTGGGTCCTCCCGTAACGTGATACCAGGTGCATCGATCACTGCCCTCGGGAACGGCAAGGATTATCCAATGGAGAGGGTCATTGCCGCGGCGTTGACCAAAAGCAACATAGACTTTGACTCTGGTGGTCATGGGAAGGATGAGTGATTTGTCCTGAGATAAGGAAACAAGTACGGATATTGATGGACGAGATTCTGGCCGCAAGATACTTGATACAAAGAGAGGTTGGATGTTGGTTCTTTGAGCTTGGATTAAACTCCCAATCCTATTCTCTGCAAATTTTCATACCTTGCAACTCAACTCCATTTATACCTGTTACCAGGTTTCCGTTCTTGGATACCCGAAAATAAAACCTGCGCTTCGCTGTCCTGGCCAGACCATGTTTGGCGGCAACAGATACGTATCCCAGCGCTTAAGAGGTGAGACTCCTGATGTGACACCACATGAGTTTCAGAGATCGTCAGACCTGATTTAGAAGCATGTGGCGCTTATAGTATTTACATCCTAGACTGATCTGATCTAAGACGTGTCTACTTGACGCACCACGATTCAGGACTCCGCCCATTTTGTTTTTGTGTACGTCAGCATCTGGAGCCGAAACTGTCGAAAACAGACGCTAAACCAAAAGCAGCTCAATTCAGGTTACCGTTCTCCAGTTCTGGTCAATAGCGAGATTCAACAATTCTCTTTTCCTCTGGACTTCTGGCAATTTTTCGACCCCGAGTTCCAAAATGCCTTCATAAATCCTTTTGTTAGAATTAAACAACTTCAATCGTGGAGGCCATCTCACAATACCCGAAGACATGATGCAGGATCGAACAATTTCTTCCGATGAATTGTCTGAAGCACGACGCTTAGCAGATTTCTGTCCGGTCTTCAAGGTCGATGAAACCACTGTCGTCAAGTCAGGAGACTCGGTCCGTTTCGCCGAAGCAGCTGCATTGAAGTTAGTCCGCGAACGTACGAGCATTCCTGTGCCGGAAGTTTATAATGTATACAAAGACGAAGCGTCTGGACATGTTCGAATTATTATGGAATTTATTCAGGGAGATGTTCTTGACAGAGTCTGGGACCAATTTGACGGAAATCAGAAAGACGAAGTCATCCAACAACTGCATGGGTTTTTTGCTCAGCTGCGGAACATTAAGGGCACAACCATCGGCTCTGTCGACGGCACAGCTTGCGAGGATCAACTGTTCACTGACGAAATCGGTGCTTACGGTCCTTATGAGGATGAACCGGAATTCAACAATGGGATGATAACAGCCATGGAAAGGTCACAACAAGGAGCTTGGGTCGTTACCATCTCAGATATCATACGCAACACTTTGAGAAATCACGAAATTGTCATGAGTCACGGGGATATTTCTCCAAGAAATATCATCGTTCGCGGAACAAAAGTTGTTGCTATTCTTGATTGGGAGATGTCTGGGTTCTACCCTGAATACTGGGATTACGTGAAGAGCCTCTACAAACCGGCCTGGGAGAGTGGCTGGATCAAGGACAAGGTCGCGGATAAGATCCTGCGCCCTTATTATAGTGAACTAGCAGTGATGTTACATGTTCATAACATCACTTGGTGAGAAGCTTGGTCCCGCGTTTAGAGACGTATAAAACTGTGCATAGATTAATTGGTGAAACACAGAACTTTTCGGCCTCTATCCAAGTTTGACCAGTAAAGGTGGCGGCTATCTTGTCACTAACCTCGAAGGTTGAGCAGCTTATCAACGCTCTGCTAGGCATTGCTAGTCTTCTTCATAGATGTTCTGCCGCGTTCTTCGTGATCGATAGAAGTCACATAGCCTTACAGAAGGCTTGGCTCACAAGTTTGAATACGCCCCAAGTTCGCTTTGATTATAGTTAGTTTCCCCGCGAGGAAATCCACAATATCATCGATCTCATCCGGAATCTTGTACCAGTGGCCAAGCTTTGAATAGAGGCGCCACGTAACATCCATACCCAATTCTGTGAGAGCATTAGCAGCTTCCTCTCCAAGGCTGCAATTTATTTTCAGGTCTTCCCTCCCATGTCCAAGGAATACTGGGGTTGCGAGGCTTGAGTTCTGGCGATTATGACTTGAACGCTTGGTGTCGATTTTACCCATAGATACGATATCCCTCACGAGATTAATGACCTGAATGGGCGGGCTTTCGTCGTTCCCGTCATTGTCACTGTCTTCAACAAACACAGGAACTTCATCTTCCTCATTTTCACTGCTGGGACCATCGTAGCTGACAAGCTCCATCATGTCCTTACAGAACGGAAGCCAACCGCTGAGACCGATGAAGCACCCAATGGAAAAATCCAAGCTCAATAATACAAATAGTGCCATGGCACAGCCTTGGCTCAAGCCCCCTAAAATAATGTTTTGAAGAGGGACCGTATCCGCTTCTTGTCTCAAGATCGACCAAATATGCTTCGCTGACTCGGTGAGACCGTCAATCTGCAGCTCTCTGCGTTTGGATGGATCATGTAAAGATGCTATATCGAACCATTGGCTTATTGTCGCCCGTTTGAATGCTGATGATCGCCGTTTTTGAGCGGTAGGAAAAACAAACCTCATCCCAGGAAATGAGTCGGCGAGGCTTTGACCGCTAGATGAGACACCGGAGCGCAGCAGCTCCCTTCCGAATGTTTCGCCCTTGCTTCCAAGACCGTGAAGGAGTATGGCGGTGTGGGTATGTTCGGATATTGATTGTATAACAAAAGAATCTGGAAATGTTTTCCCAGCCATGCTTGGGGTTTGAGATGCCATGGGTTGAGGTTGATTTATCATTATGACGCGTGAAAGCAAAGGGCAAGAAGATGCCTCCAAAAGCGGCGTCAACGATAGCCAGATTCGAACGACCACAGTGCTCTCTGGTCTTACGTACAATTTAGGGGTCAGCCCCAACCCTTTACTTCAGATTAATTATCTTCCTGCTGCTACAACCACAATGTATGGTGATCATGTGATGTTGCGCTGATCTTGCTGGACATCTAGGCCGACCTCCCAAATTAAGGGTTTTTGTTTCCAAATTCATATACTGACCCAGTCGCCGTAAGAGTTGAATTGTTGTGCAGCGTCCGACTATAAGCAGAGATGTCCCTGCCTACAATCCTAATATTAGTTCTGTTTCTATGTGCGTGACAGGCCCTTCCAGTTGGATCCCTGGTCACGTGATGTGCAGCCTCCTGCCTTGTGATGATTGTCGGAGGACTTGTCATTACTAAGGGGTCCAAGGGGACGTCAGACTATATAGGTTTCGAAGGGTGTACCGGGTTATACCGGGGCACTTCGTAATAATACAATCACGTGGCCAGAGGCCTTCGAAGCGTGTCGAGACGATACGCTTCGACGCAGTCTTTACAAGTCTTGGCACGCAAAATGTCACACATGAGCGTAGTTGTGGTCACGTGATCTATGTAGTGTATTCCTCGGACAGGGACCTAGCTCTTACTTCCTCCCATTAATAGGCAGTCCTCGAGAAAACCTTAAGTGTGTTAACAGTCAATTTGATGATAAGGTTAACACGCAGTTAGATGTCGGCAAGTACTTTAGTTATGTCAAGATATCGTGGATGTCAGCATGCAAGACTATTGGCACCCCCAGAAGGCATTAAACAATGTTCTGCTGGCGGCAAGGGTCGAGATATTACGTCTTTAACTAGACAGTTCGATAATTTGGTTGATCAGGCTTGAACTAGGAGGCTTCGCAATGTGAAACGTGATCTGAAGAGGGGATGGCACAAAGCTAACGCGGAATATTATTCTCTGGAGGCAGATATGCCGTGCGCCAGACAGAGGTCTGTCAAATCGCTCATGTCATGGATTCACCGTGATCAATTGGATGGATGTCTCTAATCTCGGAAATGGCCTGAACTCGTCTTGCTTTACACACTGGATCTGTATCGGCATACTCTTCCCCTAGGTTCATAATAGTGTTCCAGGAAGCTTGATTTGGAGTCTGCGATCTTTTCCCTTCTTGATAGGAAAATCGGATCTGACAATGTTGTAAGTTGTGTCGCTGGCTAGTGGCCGTAGCCGGGGTGGTTGGAAAAAGAGCGAATACAAGTCTTTCTCCACTTCGATGGCGGCCTCGTGGAATCAGGTCCTGCATCCTGGTGGGTTTTTGGTCGTGTCGTGTGGTTGTGATACCTGCCGGACGATTTATACCACTGAAAGAGGTGGTCCAATTACTGCATTCGAGAAACAGATGCTTGGCATTGAAGAGCTACGGGTGCACCGGTTTCTTGGAGAATATGGTAAGGTAGGTGGTGTCGGAGATAAGCTTTCCCATGTTGTTTACGCGAAGTTGCGCGACGCGTCTACCACACACCTCACACTCTCACACTCTCACACTCTCACACTCTCACACTCTCGACACATGAGCGGACCGAAAATCATGTCGCCAGTCGATAGTTCGACCCTGAGCTTAAACGATGTTGGCTCTACACAGCAGGACGATGTCTTTCTGTGCACGCAATTACAGTACCTAAGCTCAAGGCACGGTCGACACTTAGAAAGGACTCACAGAAATATTCGCACCGCGGTCGAGTATCTGAAAGGCAAGAGAGCAGCACGAAAGTTCGTGAAGACATGTTGGCAAAGGGCATTGGCCATCTCCCCGCAAGCTTTCATGTTCCTGAGTGCATCATTCACACATCACCACCTTCTGAGGAGAGGACAATACGCCTGTCAACAACTGATCGATCTCCTGAAGAGAAATCAGAGCATGATTGATCAGCATTCAGAGTTATCATCCCTCAGTGCACAGTTTCTGAATGATCTCAAACAGCTAGCTCAGGCTGACGTTTCTGAAAATCCAAAATACACCCGTAGTTCACGTCGACCAGTACCCCGAACAGAGAACCTCACAAGGGCTCAAGAAGAGCTGTTGGCGCCATACGAGCCACCTACACATGATGATGAGCCTGCTGTTGCACCGTGGCTGGACTACTTCCGCAAGGAGCCAGCATTTCTGATACATCTGGACCTTACTTTTGACTACTTGAAGCTGAGACTGCTGACATCTGCTACGGAAGATCTGCGTACTTTATGGAGAACACACACAACAGGTCTACCGACGATCGTGCCGGCCGCGGCATGCTGGCGAGGAGATCCGCCAACATTTGAACAGCTCTGGGTCGAAATGTCGAAGATCAAAGTAAACGGTGTGTTATGTAGAAATTGAACTGAGTCGCGAGAATGCTAAGGGACAAGATCTTCGGGTCTACGAACAGGGTGAGCAGTCAGCCAATGCCGCACTCGCGTTCTGTCAGATGGCGAGACCGAATCGAGACAATCCCATTTGCATCATCGGGATGGAGCTTCCCGCGTTGGTACGATGCCGAGCGTTTGGGGGATGTGCTCAACTTCATCAGCGAGCGACGACGTACCTGGAACAGCACACGGTATTCAACATGACGCCGAAATTCTCGTTCGTCGACTTGCATATAGGTATGGCCACTTGTCATCGATCGAGGGCTCGGATATTGACCAACACAACAGACTACGGTAAAGATGGCATCTCTGCTACCCTACACGATTGCGAAAAGGTGTGGGTGATGTATCCTCCAACGCCTCGCAACCTGCAGTGGATGGCTGAACACCGGGGCCAGCAAGCCAAACTGGCACAGGGGATGGGAGTTTTGGACGGGGGTGTAGTAGCGCACACCACTTTGGCGGAGGCGGTCTACCTACCGGCAGGATGCTTGCATGCTGTCTTCACCCTTGTCGGTGGGTTCCTGGTCTCGATCGATTGTACCACTCAGAGGTCAGTATGGCCGTTTGCACAATACCTCCGATACAACATGCAAGCCGAACTAGGAGCCACCGAGGAGCGAAACTGCTATTTTCTCTTCCTGCAATCTCTCGACGTGGCCTTGCAGAACGCTGGGGAGAGGGATGCCTTCCGTGCATGGGTCGAGGTCGAAGACGTCCTCCAGATCAAGAGGAAGAACGACCGAGGGTGGGTTCGAGCGGCACGAAAGGTGTGGGATGATTACCTGCAGGCTGATCCGATCATTGATGTTGAATGTCCCTGCCAGGGCGCAGTCGGCTCTTGCTTCCTTGAGCATCTAAAGGACCGACATTTACGTTGGCTATTCAATGACATGGCTGAGAGCCCTACTGTGGCCAACTCAGGCGCTGAATCTAGGAGCAAGGTCATCAGGAGGCGACTGAAGAGAGGCAAATCGCACTTGGACGAATGATCGCCTAGAAGCTGAGAGGGAACAGAGAGCAGACAGAGCAGAATTGCAAAATTTCTTAAGATGTCTTCAATTTCCAACTACGTTCCCACGATACTGTCGCTTAAAATTAACACCTCGGGGAATGGAAGTCAAGCCTGTCGAGATGACATCCGCATTGACCACAATCTTGGGCTGAGGCCAAATAGACAGACATTACCAACGAAATGACATTCGTTGGAAGCTGTTTCTCCTTCCCAACCTACACAACTCCATCTGACCTCGAAAGATAATACCAGGGTGTACTAGAGGCAGTCGGAACCCGGCTGGCAGCGACGCTGATCGCTGCACAACCAAAATCCATGTAGCGTCCTATTCTGAGATCTAGCACACACGTCTCCCATAGCTACTCGAAACGATGCCATCAGAGAAACCCACTAGTAAGACGAAGCTAGATGAGAGCACGGAACTTGCTTGGTTACACGCTTCAAGCTCTGCTTGCCACAAGTTACTCAAGGCTGCAGCTCACGATCTCGATGACGTTTCGTCAAGGGTTTTGCGTATGGATTGCACTATCCGTAAATCGAATTGAAACTTCTGTCGAACTTCGTCTTCGATTACAATTGAGTCCACGATCGGAGCATATGAGAGCAAGTTGCAACACTCAAACAAACGATCTCCGAGCTCTGCAACAGGTTCTCGCAGGACTAAAAAGAAGTCCCGCGGTGTGATGGAGAACGGACCAGGAACCGGAAAAGAAACCCCCGCGTCTCATGCGAGGTTGTCATCAATATTGTACTGAATTGAGATCGCACCAAGATGTCAATGACCTCTCTTTCAACCTCCTTTGACGAGTGTGGTAGGTATGTAACCAAAATTGGACCTGATTAACAATTGGGGCTTCCCGAAGGTCCTTACGGAAGCCATCTACCTCTTCAAGATGTCAAGTAGATGGCGATGAGACAATGCCACTGCACCACTGCACCACTAAAGCTCAGGAGGCGCCTGGAAGATACATTTGTATTATGGTATTTTTCCGTTTGGGAAGGAGGGCTTTCTGCCTGGAGTAAGGAAGGAAAATATCAGGTTGGATCACACTTAGCATCCTTGTGCACCTCGAGCTACACTCCTTGTACACCAGAACATGTACAATATCGAAACACCATTTAATAGAAGTAATCAGACCCACAAACACAAAGATGAGCCGCTTCGTCATCTCCCCGAACGCTTAGCGCCTTCACCGACTCCTGTTGCTATTGGACCGATATGTAAAGACGTTCAGACGAGCGCAGTAGAGAGCCTGCCGTCCATCTTTCTCGCAATTCGTCCATTGCGAATCTGCCACGAAGATAGACTGACCCCCGTACTCGACGCACCATCCCGACTCTTCTTTATACCGCATCCGCTCTGGAGTAACTTCAACCATGGGGCGTGTTTGGCGACCTCGTCCCGAGCCCTGCACGCCTTGTGCTTGCCTGGGGAGTTCTGAAGGTCTCTTTATTGAAGATCTGTCCGTTCCACTGCGTGCGTGGAGAGTTGAATTCGACAGGCTTCCCTCCGCAGAGGGCCGGCCACTGCGTCTGGACGTCGATGCAGTTTTTAACGGTGGTGCCAAGGGCGGTCTGCTGACAGCCATAGGAGTTCCGGAGGCAGCGCGACCATCTCGTCCAATTGAAGAACCGTAGCTCGTGGATGACGCCACACTTGGTCTCAGGCGCTTGACTGGGGTCACCTCATTGCGAGCCAGCTCGTCTTCAGAGGTGTCCGATCCGGCAGCAATGACCGTCGAACGGGATGTGTGGCTGGTTGTGGAGCTGGTGTTCGGGGTGGGCGCGGGCATCTGGCGAGCCACCTGGTTGGCATGGGCAATGGAGCTTTCCCGCTCTGCCTTTGCTAGGTCTCGGTCGTTACGGTAGGCTATCGCGCCTTGCACGAACGTCTCTTTGTCGCTGGTCAGATCAAACCCTCTTATTTTGGTCATGTGATACTCTGGCTCCCCTGCAGGAGTGAGAGGCGCAGTGAGATGGTGCGCATAGGT